TTCTAAAAATAGAATTATTGTCCCATATCATGGGGACAACCCCAATACTAGAAATAGCGCGCGCTTGCGGTCTCCGTCCCCGATTATGGCTCCTGGCTAGAGCAAATAAAATAAAAACAGCGCCCTGCTGGGATAATAATTTGGCCATGTGTCACGGCCGCTTTTGATTGATGATTTAATAAGTAATAATTAACTACATCATAATATTAATAAGAGGGTGGCAAAGGTGGGGTACCAATCACGCATCACGCTGAATTTTTCTCACTAATTACGCGTCACGTTAAAAGAAGTAAGTTCATCGCCAATTTTACTTTCTCGACCCTAAAAGTGTCGTTAAAAGAAGAACTTTGCCGATTCAACCACAAAAATGATTCAACAAATATGTGACTTCTCACGTGAAAACATTTCTTACGGTATCCGTTCGAACGGCTGAACACGCGGCAAGTTAACTAGCCTATTAACAGGCTCCCAGTGAGGGCGGAAAAAGAATCCGGCGGGGACGGAAAAAAAAAATCCGCGAATTGCGCTCCCCCTCGTCACAATTTCGCTCTCGACTCTCCCCGCTCACCCCAGACCACACTTGGCTAGCTCGCACTAAACCCATTGACCCAACCGGGAGCCTGTTCGCAGGCTACAAGTGAACGGATGAATAGCGATAGTCAATTTACTTGATCATGAGTTGATAACCACTGAATAAGGCGGGACTTAACCCCTAAAATTCTGTAAAAAAAAATTGAAGTTTTGTTTTATCGGAATTTGAATCTTAAGGTATTGAAATTTTATTTTGAGAATTTCTTTTACTGTAAGTCCAAAGCTCGTTTTCTCAAAACGAGTTATTTTTGCCTTTGAGAAAAGATATTTTGAGAAGGATTTGTCCAATTAAGCTGAAATTTTCAGGATTTGTTGTTCTGAGTAAGTTTTTTTTGTTTTAAGCATAGAAAATTTCCATCCAGTTCATTTTGTAGAAGTTTTGCATTGAAACGTATGCCAGATTTTCTGTATCAGATCTACCTGTTACCATTTCATGTGTTTTTAACTTTTCAAAAATCTCTAGGCTTAAAACAGCAAGCTATTTGTCATCTTTTAAAAAATGTAAAAATTATTCATTTTGATCAGTTCTTGTAGGAGTTATATTTTCTTTAGTAAGCCCTGGCATTCCCCAGCAGGTGGCAGATTTAATCAGCCGGTGCCAGGTTACAATATAGTTTTAGGGTACAACAATATTTTTTTCATAATCTTTGGTCCTTAAGCTTTCTAAAAATGTATACTTTACCACGGTTTGGAATTAAATCTTATCCACGAAAACGGTTTGAAAAAATGCTGTGTCCCACCTTAACTCGCTCTTGACCAATCATCATCGAGTTAACTGCTATTATAAAAAAACTGGAACATTGCATGGATAATGCAATTCGAGAGTTTTCATTGGCTTAGCCATCATTGGTTATGAGACAAATATCATGCTCTACAAATATGGTACTCAAACGCGTGAGTTCTTGGGGCGTTCCTATTTTTATGTTAGTTTTGTTTGCTATATTTTGGGGGCGTTTTTAATAAAAAACAATTATCCCACTTGCGCTTGTGAGATATGAGATGATTATAGCCCACTCGGAACTACGCGCCTCGTTGGTTATCTACCATCTCACATCCAACGCGCGCTCGTGGAATGATTGTCAAATAGCTTAGCTAATACAGTACTACTGATAAAAAATAACTATTACCTCGATTAACGCATGTGTGTCCGCAGCCGTTGAAGCAGCATATCTTACCATCTCTGCATTCCTTACCATCTCCACATCCTTCAACACAAAGTCCTATCCCCGGCTTGGGACATCCTGGCCTGAGACCAGGGTTAAAAGAGCCTGCATGACGAACACGTCAATCAGTCCTACTCAGCATGATTTTTAATGTTGACACTTGCGAAAGCGAAAAACGTCTCGTTTTCTAATGGTGTTGCCTTGCCTTTGGCAAATTAGTGCTTTTTAACCTTAGTAAAAGATAAATTTGAGTCGAGCAACTTTCAATTTGGAAATAATTTGGCGCATTCACAAAAACATGACTCAACACCAGTCGACAGCTTTTATAAGGCCGCCGCCACATTGATGTGGCTCTAGAAGTATCCATTTTCGTCTTAACGAAAACGACGTTTACGTCTATCGTTCACACTAAAACGCCCTTAAACGCTGATGGAAACAACAGTCGAGTACATGACGTCATTTTTCGTCATCGTTTTCAAAGCCTGCATTCTTACCTGTCCACTCTAAAAACGTATCGTTTTTAAAAGGCTGCTCTCAAGTTTTGAAACCGTTTTCATTTTCGTTTTCAGTCGTTTAGTGTAGACGATAGGCGAAAACGCATCAAAAAGTATGCGTTTTCATACGAAAACAAAAGGTTGCGACTGTGGCCATTTTTAACAAGTGTTAGAATCATTACGTAATTCAAATCTTTTCGTCCAGTTGGAAGCGTTTTTTGTTTTTTGTTTTTTTCCCTTTTAAAACCTGTGCTACGATCACGACCGTATGACAAAATTACGCAATTTAAATGCAAGAACAAATTTAAAGTCATTTTGATATTTACCTTGTCTTTTTTTTCTGAGGGCGGAGCCCGTTGCTTCATCCTGTAGAAGGTGAAATAAGAAAAAACCAGGTTGGACTTAACGAAATGTTATGAAAATAATAAAATTGTATCGTCCTTTTATGGGGTTTTTACTCAAAATATGCCAATAACGTTCAATTTCAGGGAGTGCCTCTTGCTATCTCGGCTGAAACAGTGAATAGAAACATTGCAGGTTCATCGTTTTTAGTCTCCAATTTTCCAAAAGCAATCCTGTTGTTCCTTTTTTCACTTTAACAAACTATTATTTAACGTTCCCGTTTGTTTGAAGGTTATTTTGGACAACGCAACGACAAATGAGGTAGGGCGCGCGACGTTGTCCCTTAAACATAATGAATTTTGTATCTAAGTATTTTTGGGTACTCACATTGCTTAGTATAAAGCAGAGCAGCAAAACCGTCAACAATTTTCCATTCATGGTTTACGACTTCAACACGTTATCTCAGTGTAAAATGAGGGTTCGTATTGCTGCACGCGGATCAAGGAAACGGGTCTCAAAGAAACTATGGTGTTGCAGCGTCGCAGTGAGAAAGATGAAATGCTCGGTTTGTTAGGATACAAAGTAAATTAAACGCAGTTTAGAGTGAATAATCTGTAGCTACAATTGGTTTGTTTGTCACTTGTCAAAGCAGTATGATTGCTCAGCTGTAAACAAACAAAAAATGAGAGAGTTCTCTTGATTCAGCTTTAAAAACTGCCAATCTAATTGTTCCAAGTAAAGTGGATTTTCATAGTTTGCCATACATGATGAGAAAATAGCTCCCTTTCGATAACTTTAATTTTCAATGCTGTAAAAATATTTTTAAAAAAAACGTATCCTAAGCAAACAGATCCTAGCTTCCCGGGACTAGACTTGCAGTGTTGAAGAATTAACTATTTTAGAATTGTAAACGTGTTTGTCCTGACATAATTAATCTAAGATAAACTTACTTTAATAATATCAGGGGATATCATGTAATATCCTACAAGGAAATGAAATTCATCTTATATGAGAAACCTAGCTAACACAAACTTGTATTTAGTACAGCAAGTTACGAATGGCGCAGTGCTCTCCGTGTGAAACTGTTCCTTAGGTGTCAAGTGTTGAAGAAAAGCACTTGTTTACGACACCGGCCTGTTAAACCCAAGTCATGCAAATTGCTTGGATTGCTCCAATAGGGCGTTCATATCAGCACGTTTTGATGAAGTGAATGTTAAGACGAGAGCTTAAACAATGACGACGGTGACCCCGAGGACAACGCCTAGTAAAAAATGAATTCCTATTTTACCTCCGAATTTTGCAATTATTGCGGAGCTCCGGCGGCCCAAAAGGCCGCTAAGCGGAGCCCCATACTCATAGAAACCCGTAAATCGCTTTCCTTACAATAAAATGG